GAGCCTACTCCAAAAAACCCCCTGCAAGCATCCCATCCTTGAATAGAGCACCACAGATTTTGGTCAACTACATGTGGTTGTTCGAGAATAGCCGGGGAAGTTCTGTCGACGTATAACCAGCGATAACTGCTTCGACACCGACAAAATCTTGACAGAATGTTACTAGCACTATGAGTGAATTACACGACTTTGATTTCTCTGATCATAATCCTGACGCTAATCTATAAACACGAACCTGTAATTGGGTCTTGGTGCACAGGACCCCAGCCGACAGGTCCCGTAACGACGGCGCCGACAACGCGACGTCTTCCCCGGCCGTCATACGCCTGTAATCAACAATTTCTTTCCCCAAAATTAAAATCGAGCAGACATTTGCATAGAAACACGTATGAACAAAATTTCAAAGGTATTTTCAGAACGAGCAACACACAAGCGAGAAATGCAAAAAGGATCGACTCTATTATAAATTCAAAGCCGTAGCAGAGATGTTTCGAGAGAAAGAGCGTTTGCTGGCATAACGGCGAACAGATGAACACATAGCGTTGTGCAGCGAGCCAAGAAAAAATTATGAAAAGTCAAACACGATTTCGAAATCGTTCCACGATCATTCATCTCTTCGTTGGAATCATCGATAATTCTAAAACTCAAGAAACCAGCCGAAACGCCAACAAGAGCTAGGTTCTCACTTTTGACTCACGGTGGTACAAATTTGTATGCAACACTGGCAACCTCTAAAGGCATACTGCAGGGACGAGTGCAGCAGTAGCTGGCCACGGATGGGCCCCCAAAACTTTGTATCTCTGGACGCATCCCCCTCTGTTGACCAAGGGTTTGCGCCACCTACCAAAGTCGAGGTACAGACCTTTAAGGACCCCGGGGTACTGCTGCACACAGCCCTGGGTGTACCAGAACAATTCAGACCAATTTAGGCAGTCCCAAATGAATTTTGTCAGGTCCGAGTCCAGAGAAACAAAGGTCATCGGCAAACACGAAGACGCATGCGCTATTTCGTAGTTGCGAGATATTTCTAGCAGCCTACTGCTGTAACAGCACAACTTTCATCAATACTTTAAGAACTACGAAAACGCGACAATTGCCCACTGCATTCTTTCCAGTCGATCCTCCCCCAACAAGCCTGGTCGATTTCTCGACGAGAACGACTGAGCTATTAAACGCTGAACGAGTTACAAAAAGCTGGTGTACTGCAAATTCCAGAACGCATGTGGTGAAAATGTACTTAAAGAATAGTACAGCATACACGTGACCTGAATGACCTAGCCTGGAATTTGACAATACATCATTACAAAAAGGTTTGCTCGCAACATTTGTGCTCGACCGTTGCCCTTGAGAAATTGTAGTATTCAAAAAATTCCCTACACAATATCAGCTCTCAGAGAAAACTTAGAGCATAATTTTGTAGGCTTTTCAACGACAAATTGAAATTGATATACTGGCACAATTGGCACCGCTTACCATGCGCATGGCCTGAGGATTAATTGCTGGATCTTGCAGAGCAACCGAGCCTTCTATCCCGCCAGAGTCGGTTAACTGGCACCTGATTTGGGGGAGTATAACCACTGATGGCGAGTTGCACATAGCAGCCGTTCTATAGAACAAATCGCATTCAGATTGCCACTACGACTATGAATGAAGGAAGAATTTGTGGCGCATCCCAGAAGAAAATACTTTCATTTATTGTTTACAAAAACAAAACCGCAACATTGCGCCATTAGCCTCTTTCCTGCTCATGTCCGCGAAACCAAAATTAATCAGGAAAGGTCCGTCTGTTCTACCAGGCCAATTAAAATGTATATGTCTATACGCACCTTGGCACATTGAGCCCAAATATGCTTTCCTTATTTGCTAAACGCTTCTCTGAAAGGAATTATGAAGCAGAAAAGCGCAGCGGCAGCGGTCTGGACTCACAGACAGAGGGTCGAGGGGACTCCTTGGCGAGCTTACTGTTTTGCAGTTTCAGTATCACACCTAGGAAGATACTTGACATCGCGAGTCGAACAGTGCTTGCGTATAGCTACTTGTACCCCCCGCCCCCCCCCGCCCCCCCCCCCCCCCCCACCCCCCCCTACCCCCACCCCCCCTAAAAAACTTGAGGGAGGTAATAACGTTGAAGGAAGTCGCTCAGAGCTGCTCTAGTGCCTGTAGTGGCAGCGCCCGGACATTTTCGCTCGAAGTTATACGATATGTCCACGAAGGGCACTGTGCACATTCAACACACTTTGAATCGTTTCTTCAGTTTCAAATGAAAATCGAACAATTGGCGCATTTTTTTTTCTTTTTTTCTCTCCCTCTCTTTTCAATCCCTGATCCAAGTACAGCGTTGAATGATAAAGTTGAATGGGATTGTATGCTGGAGCTGCAACACTGGGAGATCAATCTCTCGTTTTCTACAGTTTTTGTTTCTCATACTTGACATATACTTGTAATTGCTCCCTATCGCGTCAAACGCAATATGAAAATTTAAGATAATCCATAATTTAAAATCGCATTGATAATATTTGAAGTGAAAATAATATAAATGTATAATTCTCTATCAACAGCAACACCACTAAGAATTATCCTTCAAAGGAGTCAAACAGCCAAGCAAACACAGATCTGACATTGAAGCATGTCAACGCTTCGCCCCAGTGAAACTCACTCTGTGAACCTTCAGAAAATTTACACAAACTCCCCAAACAACTTAACTATAGTGACTTTCTAAGTAATTATCCTCTTAATCGCTCCTGGAATTATCCTAGCATCACACTACTTGCTATTCATTAAATGAGGGTGACTTTCTCTAGTCACGTGTACTGCAAACATCACATGTTCCACGAATTTCACTTAATGGCCACAACCATCAAGCCATCTGTTCGAAAGATTCTAATCGAACAGTATGCTTCAGTCATAGATGAGACATGTGATGAAGGATCGGCGGAGAGCAATCCATGATGCGCCACGCACCCGTCTACTCTTCACAATCGTGAGAACATAGCTGAGTGGATGAAGTTAAACACGAAATACCAAATACCAAATCGGCCAATGATGACGGCAATGATCTTTCTTTCCGCATACAATCGAAGAAACAAATCTACGAAGCATAAAAAAGTGCAGTTGATGATGGCGGCAGCGGCATCAAAAAAGCCCCTGTACTACTTGGCTTGACTGAGACCTCTAGCCCATGGAAAATACTTACTGTTTGAGTGCTCAGGGCCCTTTGAATGTTATCTGGCGTAGAAAAGCAGGAAACTCCAGGGTCAAGCAAGACTTGAAGAATTGAAGCTGGCACGATCTCCTCCTAAAGTGAGTCCCGCACAATCCCCCCTCAGTCCTTTTTACAACAATCAATGGCATTCTATGCCTACCTCACACCACCCAGAAGTTGGCCGAGCTGGTAATGAGGGAGTATGGGGGAGCGGGCGAAAAGGGAGAGTGTGTGTGATTTATGACTGCTGGATTGCAAGGGCGAAACCCATACCAATTTTCTAAATTCTGCGAACTTCGCGGAACTTTTTTTCCCCAGCTCCCAAAAATTTTCCCAACTCCACCACAGGGCAATACCTAATAACACCAAAGTGAACCCCTACCGAAAATGCACATACAATCGCTCGTTGGGATTTTCCTAACGCGTGGTTGAACCTGGATAGGTGAAGGAGGAATGGAGGTCGGAAATGATTAATCCACAGCTTTATAGCCACAAAGTGCTCAAGAAAGGCGGGGCTTAAAATCGGAGAGAGCTCCCATAGGATGTATTCAAATATTTCACAACCATTTACTGTCCCGTGACTGCCCTCAACACCTGCACCAATGTACTGGTGTTTCGTGCAAGTTTCTCATCCAAATACCTTTGAAACTCTAATCACACCAACGTGGAATGTAACCCTCCCTCCCCCCCCCCCCCCCCCCTTAACGAGCAAAAACGAAGAACCTTTATTGTAACTGAGGCCTAACCAGCATGAGACGACTTGATTTCCCTTATTTTTTTCTAGTGGGTATATAACCTGCACTTATGGTCAAGCGGTAAGCTAGGATATTTGGTAGGAGGGGGTCTATTTAGCACTGTTTACTTCATCGTTTCAGGGTAATAGTCAAGATGATATAAATCAAATCATTTCGAAAAAGAGCTGCCTTCTTAAAAGTGACAATCCAGTTCACAGTAGCCATCAGCATGGAAACCCAAAATCCTCAATTCCAATCAATCTCATTCTTGAAACCCCACCCACTTATACAATTTATGTAACAGTACAGTAAGAAAACGATTGGCTGAAAAACAAATGGACAAGACGATTTTTTCAGTCCAAGGTTAGCGTCAGCGATACATGTATAAGTCAGGGAGTGCATAAAACTTGCTCAAGACGCACAAAAATTGAATAGACAAGCCCAAAGAAAGCGCGTCGAAGAAAACTGAGGAAGTACATATTTCACCCTAAAATCTCTTGTAGTGATGATGGAACGGCCACATTTCTTTCGTTTACGTCGTTTCATTTTAGTGAGGCACATCACGTCCCGCTTCTACTACCATCACATTTTATAAGGGACATCAGTTTTTGCCGCAATCACGGCCTACTTTGAAGAACTCAAACCTATTTTCAGTGAAATCCGAATATTAAAATGGTACCAATGGATTTCAGTGAAAATTGTGCTTTCACCGACATTAACATCCAGGCAAACCCAATCCTTCGCACCCCCCTTCGGGGTCTGTTAACTGGTATCAGATTCCTGGGAGGATAAAAATAACAAAACACCATAAAAAAAAAACTTGTACATCGGCTGGCCCCCGCAAGTCATTGTATAGGCCACATCGCATTCAAACGCCACTGCGAATGTACAAATGGAAGTAGAATGCGTGCCGCATCCCAAAAAGGGATTGATCAACGGCAAATGCTTTCCTTTTTTTTATCGACATCAGTAATATAATAAGAATCTGGGAAATTTCCACGCCCCAAATTTGGCTATCTGCTAAAGAATTGGCCGGAATTTAATGTGCTAAAGTGAAGCTAGTTTTCAAATTCCTCAGCTTTTAAGTTCCCCAAACATACTTGGAGCTATTTGGTCTCAGGTAAGATGATCTGAAATTCTAAATCGACACCACAAGCTTGTTTTAACTAGCCCATAATAGTCCTATCCATAATAATTGGAAAACTTACAGTTGCAGATCTCTGATACATTGACGCTCACCTACTATCTCACCACTGTACCAGTATGAGCGAAAATCACGAGACAGCAATGACGATAAGGATCTGTTCCCAACTCGAAACAGGAATGGATCGATAACTCACCCCGTTGATTCCACCTTTCTCACCAAAACAGGACGAAATGGATGAA